GTTATTTGGTTAACATTTTTCTTCTTTTACAACATCAGAAGCTAATTAGTCATATGTTTTTTTAATCAGTAATCGTGCTACCGGATGTTGGAGAAAAAACAAGGAGTTTGGTGGTGCAATTTTTGCATTAGAACATTCAAACAACTTCACATCCTATATCGAAAAATTTTTAATTTTAATGAAAAAAATTATTATTAAATTATTTAAATTATTAACTATTAATTGAATAATTAATTATGACGTTGTGCTGTATGGTACGATCATCTTTTCGTTTCAGATTTCTAGATATGTGGTACAAAAAAAAGTTAATAATTTACCAAACAACGGAAGATAGTGTTATGGTATATGGTTCCACCAGCCTATTCATTGTAGAATCAGACTTCAGAAAATATGGGTTATAAAAAAAAAAAAAATCAGGATTCTTAAGTTATGGTGAATTGATAATGACGTGAACAATAAACGTGGAATTTCAAATTACATTTTTAAAGTCTGAATTTCAATTTGTTTGAACATTAGAGAATTAAGAGAATGAGGATAACACTATAAAAAATGGAGTTATGATGGTATTCGTAACTAAGATACACTTTGTCAATGCAGTCATAAATACGGGTGCTTTTAAAGTCTAAATTTTATCATTTTTTAAATTTAAAAGTATTAATTTTGAATAGTTGACTCTTAAGACCCAATGACATTCATTATTGAATATATGCATTTCTCCTTCTCCCTTCGTGCCAAAATATTAAAAAAAAAAGCTATTAATTTTGAAGACATCTTTATTCTTTTTAATGGAAAATTTAGAATTATAATCATTTAGTTTTTAATTTATCTCTAACAACTATATTGAATTAGTCTAAAGATAGAATAAATTGATTTTAAGACACTTTAATCTCTAAAACATATATACAAGGTTAAGGTCATATTAAAAAATATTATGATCACATAAATATTGTAATTTTTTTTATAAACAATTAGTATAGTATTTAAAATAATAGTTTATAAATTCATATGATTTATTAAGTAATAACTATTAATAAATTTTATTATTTAATAATTAATAATTATAATTATCAATTATTTTTAACAAATAAATTAAATTGACTTAGTATTTTAAAAGATAATATACGAAAAAATTCTTAAAATCTTATAGTATGTTTAATTTAAGGGAATAGGAGAGGAGAGTAAAAATTTTTCTATTTGGTTAACAAAAAATTTAGAAGAAAAATAGGTAGCAAAATTCTTTACTTTGTTTATATATTAATTTTTTTACTTATTCAAAGTAAAAAAGAGACAAAAAATAAAAAAAATATAATGTCTTTTAACTTTCTTTATTTCTATTTTTTAAAATTAAATATACTTTTAAACTCTTAAATACCTTTTAAAGAGACGTCAATATATTATTAAGGTTGTTATTTATTTATTTATTTTTGTTTGGAAAAATAAAAAGTAAAAATTAAGGTATCTTGACATTAAAATTATTAAAATATTTAATTATAATAATTATTTAAATAAAATATAACTAATATTTTATTTAAATAAAGTAAATATCTAAATAATTTTAATACCAAGAGGATTTAATTTTATACGTCCTATTGGAGAAAAATGAAAAATCACAAACTGGTTTTTTTTTTGTAAACTTCTACCAAACAACTTCTTACATTTTTAAGGCCCCACGCTCGGTAACAGAAGTTCAGAAAACGCGCCGATCCAACTCAGCTTTCATAACGCCATTTTCTCCCTTCTCACGGCCGATGCAGCGCGTGACCAGCATTCTCCACCCCAAATCGTCTTTCTTCCGAATGCCGATAGCCGGCGTCCGCCCTGGGCTTAGAGTCTTAGACCCGGCCGATGAGTGACGTCATCGATCACGCACGATCGTGGGCGTAGGATAAGCAGAATAGGGGGGAAGGAAATCTTTCAATCTACCTGGTGCGCACAATAGCGATAGTGGAAAGATGACGAGTTGACTCACTGTAGATAATGCGAACCCAAAAAAAATTAATTATTATAAAAATAAAAATAAAAATAAAAATAAAAATAAATTATTAATTAATTAATATCATGAAAATTAATAAAAAAATTAAAACATAAAAAAAAATGGCAGTGAAGGGAACAGTTTGAAGGTCTCTTTTAAGCTGTCGTGTTCCGACTCGATTCTTGCTGCAAATGATGGGACTTAGGGTTCTTAGAGAGAAGAAGAAGCTTTCTCTGTTACTATCCACTCCTACACCTCTGAATTCACTTTCCTCTGCTTTTGCTGTTTTCTCTCATGTTCTGCTTCTGATTTTTAGCGGGAAACTTCTTCTCATGTCCTTTTGAATCAAGGTTCGTTTGATTCTTGTTTGCTTCTTCTTGTTGTTGTTGTTTTCTGAGTCTGTTTGGTTGACGGGAATTGTTAGAGAAAAGTTGCTTCGGAAACTGCTTTTTTAAGCTGGAATTGTTTTTCCGGAAATCAAAATGAAGTATTTCATGGTTTTTTTTTTTTTTTTTGGATGGAATTGTTTTTGGAGTGTTTGGCTGGTTGGAGTCATAAAGAGTTTGATGATACTAATGAATTCTATTTTCTCAAAATTTTCTGTTTATTAGCTTTGTTTTTTTTTTTTTTTTTTTAAAGGTTTTTTTGTAATTTCTGCATATTTTGCCTTCTTTCTAGGATGAAGATGTTTTGCCCAACTTTACTATAATTCTGTTGTAAAACTGTTTTGGATTGAATTCAAGTCGAAAACGATGACAGGAGTTGATTTAGATTCATATACATAAATGTTTTAACTTTTGATCGGGCTTGAGTAGGGTGTTTATTCAGCATGATGCTTGGTTGAACATTTAGCTTTTGCTACTTAAACTTCGAGGAGATGTTTTGCGGCCTTTTTGTATGCTAATGGGTCTGCAATAGTTTTTGTTTCTTATTCTCTGGTTTAATTGGCCGCCGGCATGTTTGGAAGAGTCGGCCATTTTTCCCATCATCTTCTTTCTCAATTTGGAGCAATAACTGTTTTAGGCATGCTGAATGATTCATGGATTTGGAAATGTTTCCATCCTTAGAAGATTCCAATAGTTGTCTTGAACTCTTGATTGCAATGAAGAGTTTTTAGTGTAGGCCCACCATTAGTTCATAAGGGAAAAGTAAACAGGGAGCTCCAATTAGGTATGATTGGCACATAGGAAAATGATAAGAGATAGGAATGCCATTGTTGATACTTAATCATTACTTCTTTTGTGGCTACACAGAGCTTTGGTGTCTGACAGAGCACCAGGATCAAATCAATCTTGCCACTTAAACTGTTTTTTTGCAAACTGTTAGCAATATGGGCAGGAAGTAAAAGGTCCCATCCCATCCTTTTATCTGCTATAATATGTGCTTATGGATTGCAACCCTGAGTGCAAAGAATGTCGATGCCACCATGGATTACTGTCCCTGTCCTTCTCCAATATCCACGTAGGCAAGGCCATCTGCATCCATCATGTTTCTTTGTTTGAAAACAAAGAATCTACTGGAGGTTTTTATATATTTCTTTATTGCAAGAGGTACTGATACTGCTTAACAGCAGGGAGGCAAATGAAGAAATAAATTAGGATGGTAAAACAAAAGTCAAAGGAGATGGAAATGGAAAAACATGTATACTACATATAGTAGGGGTAGCAAGGAGTGCTTATGACAGAAAAGATAAAATTTTTGGAGAAGTACAGCAGTCTTTGCCTGTTGAAGCTGTTGTAGATTCTCTATGTAGTTCTTTTACCTTGAAACTGAAATGTCATTCTCAGAATAAGTCTAGCCATTTTCCTTAAATTTTTGTTTTATCTTGTGTTTCATTTTTGCCTGACTGTTATATTGTTTAGGTGCTATGTCATGCTTATACGTCTTGTTTTGGCTTTCTTGAATTAATGCCAACCAATGAAAATTTTAATCATACATGATACCACACTTGTACTATTTATTATATGTTTGAGTGCTGTGGGTTTGTGGCAGATTAAAGATTTCAGTATTGCTTCTTTTTCTTCTTCTTCTTCTTCTTTTATCCAACTGTTTCTTCATTTGTTTTATAAATTTCCATGGGGAGTTTTAATAGATCTGTCTAGGGTGTTTCAGAATTATTTTCTCTGATGGTTGTATGACAAGTTCTTCTTACTGAGGACTATGCCACTACATTCTTTTGAACACTGATGTAGGATTCAAAATGGTTCATTGATTTCATTTCCTTGAGACCTTGACTGATGCATCAGTCCAGACAGTCCTTGTTGTTCTGTCCCAATTTTTTTTTTTTTTTTGGGTTGCTGTAATTTACACCTTGTAATGTTGAGTTTTTGCTATTAATTAAATTCTTATTTTTTAATGACGTTTTTAAGTATGCTCTGATATAAAGATTATTCTAACTAGATTGGGGCTGCCAAATGATTTCTTCTCTTTAAGCTTCTTGCCATTACATAAACCACTTGAATTGTATGTGCTTACCCAAAACTTTTCTTTTAAAGGTTGCAAGTTCTCACATGCCTCCTGCATCAATTTAATTTGTGCATAAGCTGTCTCAATTATCAGTTCAAGCATGGACTCTACATCTGCCCAGTTTGTCACCTCAAGAAGGATACCTATGTATGAGCCCATACACCAGATTAGCATGTGGGAAGAAAATTATAGGAGTAATGGCAATTTAAATACATCGGCATCAATGATTGTAGAGGTGGATGACAAACTAGACAATCAGGTGCAGAATTTTGAAGATATTCTTGTTTGGTAGTTAGAACCACTTTTCCTGATGAATTAAAAATTTAAACATCTTTCTCATGTGATTTTCTAGTCGGAGGATGCATCACAGGCAACACTGGCAGTGGCACCTTCTAACAAGTATGATCAAGAAGCATCTAAGCCTACTGATAAGGTTAGTGCAATTTTATGGTTGTTTATTGATATCTTCTTGATTTATAATATGTGAGATATTTTATCTATTGTTTGGTCAAGAAATTCTCCTTAGAGTTTGAAAGAGACAGTACGATTTGAAGTTCTTCATACCAATCCTTTTCCATTTTTATTTTTTCTCTCTTTACTCTCATCTCCCATATTCTTAGTTACACTTATGTTCACAGTTCTTTTAACTACAAACTGATGAGCTCTTTTCACTTTCTCATCTCTCATTTAATTCTTCCATTCTTACTCTGAAATCTGAATTTATATTTCTCCATGCTTTCCTGTATTTCTAATGATGAAAAACTGGTTCACCAGTGTTTGTTTGCTATGTTAGCAGCCATACAAAAAAATAATAATAATAACAGTGTTATGTCCAGTAGCTCATGAAAATGACAATCTAAGCAGGTCTTTTGGTAATATGCCTATTTTTATTTTGATGTATCCTTTCCTTCGTCTGTCTGATGCCTTTCTTTTTTTTGTCCTCTTCTTCTTTTTCATTTTGTTTGCCTTGTGTATAGGCCTGCACGCATGTACAAGTGCTACTCAGTTATGTCTAGTTCTTCATATTTGATATGCATTGTCTGAATGTTCTGATTTTGAGAGAGTATTTTTGGACCTTAGAAAGAAGAAAAAGGTTCTGGAAAACCTTTATCAACTGTCTACTATTTAGAATGTGTCAAAAAGAAAAAAAAAAATGAAAGAAAAGAAAATGTGGCATATTTTTTGTTGATTAATCAGTATGCGTGTGCTCTAATTTTTTTTTTCCATGCTTGTCTGTCTGCTCCTAGTTTGTGCAATTTAATTCACATTGTTGTAACTACAGATACAGAGGCGTCTTGCACAAAATCGTGAGGCAGCACGTAAAAGCCGTCTGCGGAAAAAGGTAGGATGGTTATGATTGTGTACTGACTCAATGGCTATGTGCAGCCAGTGAGGTTGTGTTATTACGTCCAATTATTATTTTGCAGGCATATGTTCAACAATTGGAAAATAGTCGTTTAAAGCTGATTCAATTGGAGCAAGAGCTTGAGCGGGCTAGGCAGCAGGTATGAAGAAGATTATCATTATATTTCTTTTAGTCTTTACTTTACTAATCAATTTCATTAAGCAAAGGTCACTTTAATGCAGGGTTTGTATGTAGGGGGTGGACTAGAAGGTGGTCCTCTAGGAGGGTTCTCTGGAGCTGTTAATGCAGGTTTGTTTGTCAAGATTCTGGCTCTTATCTCTATTGGCTTTTCTTTTGGGTTAAGTAAGTTTTTATCCTCTACATTCAAAGAGGGGCACTTCCGTCCCGTTACTTTCAAATTTGGGACATTTTTTGTCCCTCACCTAACACCATTAAATTAATGACATAACTAACATACTTTTAGAAATTGAATCAAGGCATCCTAGCATTTGAAAAAATATTACTTTAACATTTAAATATTCCATCTAAATCTTGATACCTTCAAGCCTTAATTTGAGCTCCAATTTCTTTATGTACCTCTTTCGTTATTATTACATTTTTTAACACCCACTCTGAGATTTTTTGCAGGCATTACTGCATTTGAGATGGAATATGGACATTGGGTGGAAGAACAAAATAGACAAATAAGTGAGTTGAAGGCTGCTTTGAGTCATCATATAAGTGATGTAGAGCTCCGCATACTTGTGGAAAATGGAATGAGCCACTATTATGATCTTTTCCGCATGAAATCAACTGCTGCAAGAGCTGATGTTTTCTATGTCATGTCTGGCATCTGGAAAACATCAGCTGAACGTTTTTTCTTGTGGATAGGAGGATTTCGCCCTTCAGAGCTTCTTAAGGTGATGCATGATTTACTCCGACTAAATGCAATATCCATGTTATTTTGATGATATATCTATATATAGGTCAAATAACATTTCCTGGTGGACACATGCATTGTAATATTTGTTCATAAATTTTATGTTGATTACAGGTACTTGGGCCTCAACTTGAACCCCTGACAGAGTCACAAGTTATGGATGTTTGTAACCTTAGGCAATCATGTCAGCAAGCAGAAGATGCCCTTTCGCAAGGTATGGAGAGGCTCCAGCAAACTCTGGCAGAGACTGTAGTAGCTGGTCAACTTGGTGAAGGAAGTTACACTCCTCAGCCAGGTACTGCATTGGAGAAGTTGGATGCTCTAGTCAGCTTTGTGAACCAGGTAATACTTGTGTGTTTCTATGACAATTAGGTTTTTTTAACAAAAGCTTGGCATAGATGATGGTTCTTTATCATGAGTTTTAATGAATTTGCATTTTCTTAATCATCTATGCTGCATCTTTCATTTGGGCTAATAGAGGTTTCAAGATATGCTTGACAGTTTACTCTAGTCTTTCAAACCCTAGGCATAATTACCAGATCCAAGGCAAGCAAATAATTGGGGGTTTTATGAACTAGTTTGATGAGTTGTATGTCCAATGCTGTTTACTAAAATATTGGATTTTAGAACAATGTTTTTGCAATCCTTTACTATCTGAGCTATATTGTTTCAATTATTTGTATTTTAGAAACAGGAAAAATCTCATTTGGGATATGCATTATGCAGGCTGATCATCTACGCCAGGAAACCCTGCAGCAGATGACTCGCATCCTGACAACCCGTCAGGCAGCTCGAGGCTTGCTTGCCATGGGAGAGTACTTCCTACGTCTTCGAGCTTTGAGCACACTTTGGGTTTCTCGTCCTCGTGAGCCTGCCTAACCTTAGTATAGAAAAATCTAATGTAGGGTTGGCAAAAATTCACATCCAGAACTGTTTTCTATAGCCCAAAAGTGGCTGTTGGTTATTGTTGTTATAGACAAAATTAGCTGCAACTCACGCTGCTGGCATTTTTCAGGCAGCTACTAGAACTGAGACCAGAGATATGTTATGTATAGTCATTTTGCCAGAGAAACTCTGCAACTATATCAGTTTTAGATGCTCTATTGTACATTGCATTGGTCTTGGAAGGATATATTTAGGTTTTACAGTTTGAGATCCATACCTGTTGAAACTGTGTGTAAATTTCCATAGGATGTTCTTTCTGTATTCTAAAAACGATTAGTACCAAACTAGAAGTTCTGGTGTGGGAACATCCATCAATATATCTTAATCAAAGCTTCACTTAGTCTTCTCTTATTTGCTTGCATCATTGCATCCTGACAACGCATTTACACTCTTTTTGATAACCCATGTTTATGAAAACTCTGTTTTTTAATACTAATCCCTTGGTATTGGAAAGCCACATTGACTTTCGACTAATTTTGAATCGAATCATGTTGGATTTTAGTAAGAAAAACTCTTTCAATACTTATTTCTTCATTTGTGAGATTTAAATTCGAGGAGGCCTTGGTTATTCATGGGAACATCAGTGTTACAATTTTGTCTCAGAAATGAGTCCGAATTTGGAGAAAATATTGATTGTTGAAAGCAAGGTTTAAGCTGAGTTCGATGCCAAAGGATAAGAAGTTACATGATCATATATAGCTCCTGAAGGGTTAATCCTGACAACTTTGACAGTGCATAGTCCAAAGCATCAGCAAAAAAAATCTACACATGCAGAATACAGGGCAAACAGATTATGTCCCCCAAAAAGATATATAAAGGAAAACTCTGAAAGCAGAAGTTTTTAGTGTTGTATAGGTTAATACATTCAATATTGTCAGGGACACAAGAAATACCTGCATCATCCTTGGTAAAACACTTAGGTGACCGTATGCTGAAAATATTTGCATGCATTCCACCTTTTCCAACTAGAACGCCGAGTTCTTCAAACAGGAAACAAAATGTTAGCAGAATGGTTAAAGTGTTAAATGGGTACATTATGATAGAAGCTTTTATTTTAAATTTTGAGTTCGATAAGGTTGTGTCCTTGTACCTCTCCGTTTCTCAAATAAGACGGTTGTTTCAGTTTTGGTTGTTGTTTTCTCCTTTCTGTCAGAGACAAATTCTGCTCCGATCATTAAGCCCCGACCCCTGGTTTCTCCGACATATGAAACAGAGTATAGTAAATCTAAGGAGTCAATTCATTTGATAGTACTGCTCAAGACAAAGTAGAAGCATATGAGAGCAAAATCACATTCACTAGAAAGTCCTAAACATGGTTTAATTGTAGTGAACCTCTGAAAATGATGTTTAGTTTGGATAACATCTGCACATGCCAATATACAGTAGTTTTCTCAAAAAATTTTCACATCAGCGCAATTCAAAATGAAAAAATGCTGTAAAGAATCAAGATAAATAACCCAGAATCAATTCAGCTATCATATCTGCAACCAAACATGTGAATATAGAAATGAGAAGAAATTTCTAAGAGACGTCGCGTTTGGAGCAATTACTGTCTTGTTTTTCCTGTAGAGATTGATCTTAAGCGTCTTATCAAATGAGCACCAACATCAGCACAATGTGCTTGACGTTTCTCCTTGTCTAGAACTCTGAGCACTGCAAGTCCACCAGCAGAACACACAGGGTTCCCGCCAAAAGTGTTAAAACTGAATTTTTTGGGTCAAAGCACTGGCTATTTCTTGTGTTGTCACGACTGCTGGTAAATTAGGCTCTCACTGTTAACCTAAATAAAAATTTTTACCCGGTGTTTTGTGGAAGAAAAAAGTCATCAAATACTTTTATGCAATGGTTTAAACAAAATTATTAACTATTACTTTGAAACCGTTAAATCAAATAACAATGATATATTGTAAAAAAAAAAAAAAAAACCATAAAAAAGCACTCCAAACGCAAAATACAAAACCTAAATGCTAAATTCAAAATGGTTATTTTTATAGATTCTCTATTTTGTAGTTTGGATTTTATTAAATTGTTAAATCAACATTGTTGAATGAGAAAAAGAGCCCAATATTAAGAAATTCTTCCATAATCCAAGCATCATTATTTTATAACTTAATATAATTTAAATTACAAAATAATTTTTTGTATTTTTTATTTACCATGCAATATTTCTTTGGGCCTTTGTACGAATTTTTTTTAGGGCTATCATAAAATAATCCTTCTTTTTTTTCTTTTTTTTTTTTATGAAAGGCATTCGATAAGCCATTTGATAAACTGAAATTCTATTATTCCCACCATGAAAAGAAATTCTATTATTCCATCGGAGTGATGAATAAAGATGATAATGGTTGCTTGCTTAGTTGTTTTCCTTGTAAAATGCCTTGTCAAAAACCAGCTGGAAATCCTCCTTTTCTTGGGTCACTGACTGCTACTAGCTCTCCCATGCTTCCAGAGTCTAATTCATGAACTATAAATTGACAGATTGTCCCACCAGCCAGGCTTTCTAGGACATGGCCCCTCTTCTGAAGGGCTGCCCTAATATCAGCAGGAACTTCAAAATGGTCACCAATCACGGTTGTCCAGTTCTCATAAAACACCGTATTGGGTATTAACTGCATATAAAAGGAGAAAAATCAAAAGGGAATCAGACAAAAACCTAGATAATACCAAACTCAATGGAAAAACATTTTTTTAAAAAATTTCCTTTCATTTTTTTAGTCTTTTTCGAATCCTCCTCTATGGCCGACATGTGACTGCTTAAGAATAATTAGTAAGTCACCTTCACCATGTATAGACTGGAATATTCAAAAAGAAGATTAAAAATTTTATTGTGCCTCGATGGGATTTCAGCAGAAACCTCGTGGTAAAATCTTGGTGCCATGACAGAAGAGAGTGGATCCATTCCTAACGCGAAGTGATTTAAGAAAACCTCTGTAGTGCCAGCAATGATCATGGCTCCTCCACTTGCACCCACCACTGCTTTCAGCTTCTCATCCTGTCCAAGAATTTGTTCAGCCCCCTAGATAACTAAGAGGATATGGCACCACACTTCTAACTTTTAATTAAGTTAGAGATCTTGAATATAAATCATATTATATGTATGAGAAAAAAAGGTTAGCAAAGCGAGTTATCCCCTATGTTTTAGCACTTAGTTTTAGATGAGATGAAAGAATGCATGTATACTAATTTGTGTAGAGCAATAATCCTTAATTAATAAAGAGAGCTAAAACCTTCAATACAATTGTTGGTGTCATGGAGGACAAAGGTCTTTTCCTGGGACGGATGAAGTTGGCTGGAGCAGGTGGTGGTACACTTTTAGAGCGGTTGCCTGTAGGCATTGAGAAGTCGTCCATTTCATTGTTAAGAACAATTCCTGTACTCGGCGACAGTATCTGTGATCCAAAATAGGAATTCACAGTGTTTGTCATTGAGACAGCATTTCGCTCAACATCTACAATGGAGACATGACTAGTGCCATGATCAAAGGTCTGGTTCCACCTATAAACAACCAACTCTTTTATTAAATAAAGTGAGCATAATTTAATTAGATATAGTACCTTTTTTCAGTCTCAATTGAATTAAAAAAAAATGTAGTTCGAAATAAAATTACTATAATACCTTTAACAATTCTAAATATGAAAAAAATATAAAACAAAATTGTTATCAACTACCCAACTAATTTGATTAAAAAGCAGATATTAAAGACCATCCTTTATTAGTTTTTATTTTGCAACCGATGTACTAGTTTCAACTATTAATTATAAACATGATTGTCATAACCTACACTCCACTTAGTAATTGGAATTTTCTATCATATGCCTTACAGCACATGTTAAGATTTATTAAATATGGAATCTTTCTAATTAAGGGCACATATTAAAAAGTAATAAATATATTTTTTTATTAAATTTTTTGTTTTTTTACATATATTAATGGTTAAAAGGTGCATTAATCACATTTTTAATTTGTGTTTTTATGGATAGGTGAGAAAAATCCTTAAATATAATATTTTTAATTAATTTTATACAAAATTTTATGTCAAATTCAATTAAAATAAAAATATTAAATGTAAATTTAAAATATAATATATAATATTTATATTCAAAATTTATAAAAATGTATAAATTTAGTAATTAAATTCCTACAAAAAGTTGATGGCTGCTTGAAAAATTTTCATGTTCGAATAATGTTGCGTGCAAGTTTCAACGAACTTTCATTGATGATTAAAAAAAACTTTGAGGTTTTAACAATCCAACTAATCAACCTTTTTTTATTATTATTATTTTTTTTATGGAATTAAGAAGCTTACCTGCCACCATAGTAACTGGAATCAAAAGTCATGTTGTCAAAAATGGTTTTCTTCAACTCCTCTGCAAATTTTGGAGAGAGCAAGTCAGCTACAACTTCCGATTCGTCAACGAAATCAGGATCCCCAAGATTCATCCTCACCGCGAATGCGTGTTTCAAAGCCTCAATCTGTCTGTGGATCCTGAGATCACTTGAATTACCAAAGGGTAATCCATATTGAGCAAGAATGTTCAGCATCTGTCACAATCAAATGCAATCCCCTGTTTTACCTTCCTCGAAGCAGAATTCAGAAAATTAAGCAGAGATTCCGCCGGAAAATACACTTACGAGTATCATCGATGCGCCTCCGGAGGAAGGAGGCGGCATTCCGAGAATTTCCAGGCCAAGAACCTTAGCGGAGATCGGTTCCCTGACTTTGACTTCGTACTTCTTCAGGTCTGAAATTGTAAGTATTCCACCGGCACTCTGAACGTCTCTGACCAAATCAACTCCAATAGATCCGTTATAAAAAGCCTCCGAACCGTATCTCGCTATCTTTCCAAGGGTCTCTGCTAATTTCATGTTGCGGCAGATGTCCCCCGGCCGCAGTAGTTCTCCGTTTGAGGTGAATATATCGCGGAGTCCTTTGTCGGCCAAAATTCCTGATCTTGTTTTCTCCATTTGCATGTAGAGATACGGCGAAATCTTGAATCCTCTTCGAGCGAGATTCTCCGCCGGCCGAACCAGCCTTTCCCATGGAAGCTTTCCGTAGTCTTTCCATGCTTTGTGAAGACCGGCAAGTTCGCCGGGAGTGGCTATGGAGAGAGCGCCGGTAGCCTTCAAACTAGCATTTCCGGCATACATATCCTGCCGAAAGAGAGCTATTTAACCTACTGTTTGCTATTTTCATACAGATATTAAAAATCAACAGGTAGTGAGAACAGTAAATAACATGTGGTAGTTAACAAGTAACAGTTAGCAGTTAGCGAAGTAGACATAGTTGAGTAAAGAATTTAGGTTTACCTGGGAAGCTTCCGCTGGAGCTGTTTCCCTCATATCAAGTGCCTGTGCTTTCCCGTTAGCTTGCCTGATTAGCATGAATGCTCCACCGCCAAGACCGCTTGATGCTGAATTCACTACGCCCAAGCAAAAAGCGGCAGCCACCGCTGCATCCACTGCATGTCCGCCGGTACGAAGCACTTCCATCCCAATTACAGAGCAACTCCCATCATCAGTGGCAACTGCACCATGCCTTGCCACAATTACCTCACGCCTAGTGCCTTCACTTTCCTGAGTAGAAATAGCAGGCAACAGCAGAAAGACGAGGACGGTACAAAAGAGATTGAAAGACGCTGGATCAACAAAACAAAATCATTAATTCATCTCAAAACTTAAAAACCAAAGTACAGAGCCATAATCATTTGAAAGAAGATTTTAGTGTTAAAAGTGTCTTACATGACATTTTTCTCTCTTCCCCCGCGCAACGAAGTGGTTTGACTGGTTTCATGAGCCAAAATATTTATACCATATACGAAACCATTGGTCAAATTTAATTTTCTTTTCTCTTTCTTTTTGTGATTTGTCTTTTCTCTTTCTTCTTAATGGATCAAATTAATTATATTAATTTTTGGGTTGCGGAAAGTCAGTAATATTGGACAATCTTGACTTTTTGTTTTCTATTAATTTTTTTATTACCGTCTATTAAAGTGTAATAAATATATTATTTTATAATTTATAAAAAAACACAAAAATTAATTTTTATTTTAATATTATTATCATGTAAATAATTTTAATTAATTAATTAATTAAATTAAAATTAAAATTTATATTTTTGATATAAATTAATCATAAAAAGTATAATAAATATGCTATTAATCTATACTCTAACACATGATAGAAAAATGGTTAATGATATAATTTTTTTATTTTATGTTATTATTTTCCCTCCACATAAATCATAATGGTTATAAAATAATATAGATTAAATTAATAAAAAAACATTTTTTTTTGTTACACAATGAGATCACTTATCTTTTCTTATCATTTTAAGCTAATCCACTTGTTTGGCCCGTGATTCAAACTTAAGAATTGTGAAAAAAGTTTACTATTAAATTACTTATATTATTAGCAAAAATAAATAAAAATTAATTAGAACACCAATTTGACCCCAAATTCTAGTCCTAGTGCACCAACTTAATTTGTTGTTAAGAAATTTCTATGTCACAATTAATCTTATATTTGAGTTAAAGGAAATGGAGGAGATGGGAAGAGAGGGGAGGGAAATATTTCCTTCCATTTTCTTCCATTCCCCCTCCCTCTTTTCCCTCATTTAGAAAAATAACTAAATTAAAAGAAAAAAAGGAAAATAAAAGTTTCCCCTTCTCTCCCCTTTAAAATTTTTAATAATTAAATTAAAAATTATCTTTTTCCCCCTTCTATTCTCCTAAAACCAAGTATACTATAAAGGTAAATTTGCAGTGCCCCACATTATCATTTGGAGTCAATTTGGTGTTCATATTTGATAGTTATGCATTCCATGGGATTTTGGGCAGAAGAAATCATAAGGATATGAACTTTATTTTACAATAATCATGGATGTCATCTTAAGAAATTTACTAACCACAAAAATGTACTTTTGACTTCTTGTTGTTTGAAACATATGTATTTGATTTCCTAGTGTTTTAAAGATTTTTACTTCAATATTAATAAGGGCTTGTTTAATCTATACTTTAATAGCAAAAGATAATTAAAGGTATATTTATTATATTTTTTATCTTTAAATTATATAAAAAATTACAATAATAAAATTTATTTTCAACACTAATATCACATGAAATATTTTAATTAGGCAGTTAATAAAATTAAAGTTAATTTTTATTTTTTTATATAAATTAATAATAAAAATAATAATAAATAGACTCTTAATTTATGTTTTTAAGATATAAATTAAAAAATTCCTATTAATAGACTTAGAGTCTTGAGTGTATATTTTCAAACTACAAAACAGCCAATTCAAATTACATGAGGTTAAGTATACCTTTTTTTTTTTTTTTATAATTTAAGTACACATTTTCAAAACATATTGAATTAATATATATTTTTATAATTTAAAAAGCTAAATACACGCATCCCAAATTGGGTCACATGGGGATAACTATAAATTCCCACAAAAAACACACACTTGCATGAGGAGCCGTGTTATATAAATTTAAGTCATAATGTCTTATTTTGTCCGTTCAACGCGTTATATTGGTCACAAGGGACCACGAAACCTACGTGGTTGTTAAAGTTTGTAATGGCAGCAAAAACTTGTGAAGGCATAGGCGAAGCTGTCACTTGCAGAGATGGAAAAGGGGTGTGAAGGCATTGGCGAAGCCGTCACTTCCAGAGATGGAAAAGGGGTGATCCATCTTGGACAAAGAAAAAGGCTGTAGAATGGTGGGGAGTTAACAAGTTCTGCCTTCCATGTTGAATGGTGGGCTGGAGGTTGCCAATCTCTCCTCGTTCTCTAGTCCTTTTGGTTGTCGGCTATTTAGAGTTGAGGTTTCTTTGCACCATAAGTCCTTACAATATAATAACATTTTTTAAAAATATTAAATAAAAAATAACAATTTTTACTTTTTTGGGCTGAGACTCCGCAAAAATTGAGTACAAGTAAATCATTGTATATATATGCGATTGACGACAAGAGGAATATATATCCTATGGCTCTCCAGCGGAGCAAAGGTTGTCAATTTTATAATTTTTTTTATTTAAAAATGTTAATTTTATTAATTTTTAAATAAAAATATTAATTTTTAATATTTTTTATTTAAAAATATCAATTTTTAGCTTATTTTATTTAAAGATATTATTTTTCAACATTTCAATTAAAAAATTAATTTGTCATGTTAACATTATTATTCCATTAATTTTTAAATTAAAAAAAATAAAAATTAATATCTTTAAATAAAAAAAATAAAAATTAATATCCTTAAATAAAAAAATTATAAAGTTTGACATTTTTTTTTTTTTTGCACCCTTTATTCCTCTCCAGCGCCAACATAAATGCATATTATAATGACGTGGCCGCCAAGGCGCCAACATATACAAACAACCAACCTCCTATCTCTTTCTGTGAAAAATGTAAATAATTGTAGATGAAAAACCAAAGCTTACCGGGAAGGGGTGAAGTGCTATTAAAATATTACATAAACAAATTTTAAATTTTTTCTCAGAAATTTTGTCATTTATGGGGGTTCCTCCATCTCAAATTATGTTTACTCTTCAAGTCTCTTCATTTTAGAGTTCAATTTAGTAGGATTCGCTTATTTACAAGTGTAAAATTAAATTAATACAAATTATTGTTTCTGAGTATAAAATTAAATCTTTACGCTTAGCTT